CCGAAGCTCTCGATACATTGGAGCGCCGTGCCAGGCAATTACCAGATTGAAATCCATGCTTTGGAACGCGAGAAGGATCCGGCATCAAAGATACGACTAGAAACTGCAAAGCAGGAAGCAGCAAATGTTAACGAAGAATTGCGACCAATGAGAGAAAAATACGAAAGCGAAAAGCAACGAAGCAAAGATATCCAGGATGCTAAAATCAAATTGGATCTTCTGAAAGTGAAGCGGGATGAGGCAACCAGGTCGGGGGATACGCAAACCGCTTCAGATCTCATATACTATGCCATCCCCGATGTCGAGAAGCGCATCGAACAGCTTGAGGCTGAAAGAGCTCGAGTCGACGCGGAATTATCTATTCAGCCAGGAGGGGGAGGGGAAACTCTTCTGGCAGATGCTGTTGGTCCTGAACAGATCAATGAAATTGTGGCTCGATGGACTGGTATTCCCGTTACCAAGCTCAGAACCACCGAGAAGGACAGACTCCTTCAAATGGAATCGCACCTCTCTAAGATTGTCGTTGGCCAGAAAGAAGCTGTTCAGTCCGTATCAAATGCAATTCGTCTCCAACGCTCTGGCCTTAGCAACCCTAATTCCCCGCCAAGCTTCCTGTTCTGCGGTCCTTCCGGTACAGGTAAAACGCTGCTTACGAAGGCTTTGGCGGAATTCCTTTTCGATGACTCCAAATCCATGATCAGATTTGATATGTCTGAATATCAAGAAAAGACATTCTTTGAGTCGAATGATCGGTGCTCCTCCCGGATATGTTGGGCATGATGCCGGTGGCCAACTAACGGAAGCACTTCGCCGCCGACCATTTTCCATTCTGCTCTTTGATGAAGTGGAAAAGGCCGCGAAGGAAGTATTGACTGTCTTGCTTCAGCTGATGGATGATGGAAGAATTACAGACGGCCAGGGAAGGATCGTTGATGCGAAGAATTGTATCGTCGTGATGACTTCCAACCTTGGCGCGGAGTTCCTTCAGCGTTCCACCATCGCAAATGGCCAAATAGATTCTACCACTAAAGAACTTGTTATGGGAACACTGCGGAACTACTTCCTACCCGAATTCCTCAATCGGATTTCCAGCATCGTTATCTTCAACACACTAACGAGACGGGAGATACGGAAAATCGTTGATCTCCGACTTGAGGAGATCCAACAGAGACTAGAGCAGAATGATCGCTCGGTGACGATAGAATGCACGGACGAGGCCAAGGATTACTTGGGCAATGCTGGCTACTCGCCACTATACGGCGCCCGACCGTTGTCACGACTCATCGAGAAAGAGGTCTTAAATCGCCTTGCGGTGTTGATCCTAAAAGGCGCTATCAAGGACGGCGAAACTGCACGTGTAGTTATGGAATACGGACGAATCACTGTGCTTCCGAACCACGGTACTGAAAGCGAAGACGAGGAGATGGTCGGCGATGACGCGCTCGAGGAGATGGAGGAAGACTTGGGTGAAGATGATCTTTATGAATGAGCATGAGATATCTAGAGGATAAGCGATTGGGGGTTTAAACGATGACGTTCTTGCTTTTTCTTCCGTTTCAGGTTTACTTTTTTTTTTCTGGTTCGCGTTCTTTTTCTCTAAGCCGATATTTTTCCTTTTCGTGAACTAATGATCCTATTTTTGGTTGTGGTTGGGTGAGAAGCTACTGGATTTATGAAAGTAATGGCATAAAAGTATTCATTCTTATTTCGTTTTTGTTGGAATGATTGGATGGATGGTTCGTCCCTTGGCTACTTTTAATGCTGTGAAAGACGAGATGAACGATTTCCCTCCGCCATTTCCTTTGACTAAACTATCCTTTGACTCATAAAAATGAGGTGTTGAGGTGTAACTTAGTTCTGTACAGCGTAGTCTACCCAGCAATGGGTTTTTTACTTTTTTAAACAATATGGAACAATATTTCGTAGCATTTGCAACGACATATCATGTGATCACGCGCGTTGAAGCCTCATCGATTCCCGGACGCGACGCGCCAAGAAATCAGCAACTTCTTGTCGATCAGTTTTCCGCTCAATTGGATCTGATATGGGGAGAATGCTTGATCGCACAGAGCATTAATTTACATATCAAACTATGCCTTTTAAACCCTTCCGGCCACCGCTGATCAAAAATTCACCGTCAACATCAGCATGTGTCGAGTCTACCGGGGATTCTGGTCATCTCACTAAACGTCGAAGAATCACTGCTGAAAGCTCTGACCTAGCAGCTAGTGATAATGATGGTAATGGGAAACGTACAAAATCAGAACATGTACCCAGGGTGTCTAATCCAAGCTCAAAGTTGGTCTCTGACCGAAGGGCGCTGGTTCCGAAGTGGAATCTACCAATGGAGGTGAATGTGGATGATGGTGATGATGATACGTCAGCGGCGGATTTTGGGATGGAAACATATTACAACGTTCTCTGGTATGTAAGTTTTGTTGACGAAGCTTCCTTTTTTTTTTTTTTTTCTAACTAGAAATAAATTGGTAATATAAGGAAGGGTTAGTGGCTTTTGGCTAACATTCCGCTCCCGCTCCTCGGGATTTTGTTACCAGGCGGAAACCTACTGTCAAAAAGCATAAAACGTGGGATGGTGATGGAATCCTAACTGTCCGTGGTGGTTATGCGTCTCTGCAGGACATATCTGGGCGGGATTTTGGGAGAATCATGTTCAATTCTCCTCTCCTGCCCGGTTCGACAATATCGGTTGGTGGAAAAGAAGTTGAAGTTGATTCTGTCTTGTCGAAGAACGAGTTCCTCTCTGGTCGGCCATTTTTAGGTGCCGCCAAACCTTTACCTGCGACCATACCCATCGACAAATCCAATGAAAATGCCGGTGATCCAGTTCGTGTGTCCCGCATTTCATCTGCTATATCGACGAATGGCACCATTAGACTTCCCCCTAAAGCCAAAATCACTCGCAAGAACAGAGACAACGAAAGGAGAAAAGAGACTCCTTAACATAGCTGCGCCTAGAAGCTTTGCGGCGAAGAATGTCTTCAAAAATCCTCTCAAAGATAGCACTGTACTAGTGCAGAAGCCTGATAGCAGTCCCATTCCACGACATGATCCCACGGCTCCTGGCGCGGTCATCATGAAACGGCCAACGTCAGTCCCTAAAGGCAAACAAATTGTTGATGTCGTCCTTGATCCGCTTCTGGCTAAACATCTCCGTGAGCATCAGCGAGAAGGTGTTAAATTTCTCTACGAGTGTGTCATGGGAATGCGATCTTTCAATGGTGAAGGGGCGATCCTCGCAGACGAAATGGGTCTAGGGAAAACCTTGCAGACCATAGCTCTTATATGGACCCTCTTGAAACAAAACCCGATATACGAGGCTCAACCAGTGGTTAAAAAAGCCCTGATAGTTTGTCCCGTCACATTAATCGATAACTGGAGAAAAGAGTTCCGGAAATGGTTAGGTAATGAACGCGTCGGTGTATTTGTGGCTGATACCAAAAGGACCAGACTCACCGATTTTACCATGGGCAAGAGCTATAGCGTTATGATCATCGGATACGAGCGTCTCCGAACTGTACAAGAGGAGTTATCGAAGGGATCTGGGATTGATATTGTCATTGCGGACGAGGGGCATAGGATGAGGACTGTCCAAAACAAGAGTGCACAAGCGATACAATCGTTAAATACTTCAAAACGAATCGTTCTCTCCGGAACCCCGATCCAGAATGACCTAACTGAGTTTTTTGCCATGGTTGACTTTGTCAATCCTGGCCTTCTAGGAACATTCAAAATGTTCATGAAAGAATTCGAAGGGCCAATTGTGAAAAGCAGACAGCCAGGGGCTTTGGAAAAGGACATCGAGAAAGGAGAAGCGAGGAGTGAGGAATTGTCAAACCTGACGTCTTTGTTTATTTTGCGGCGAACTGCGGACATCCTCTTAAAGTATCTGCCTCCCAAAACCGAATATGTCCTACTCTGCAACCCTACCTCTTCTCAGAAAAATATCTATCACCATGTTCTCAGTTCTCCAATTTTCCAATGCGCTTTGGGAAATTCGGAGAGTGCTCTACAGCTTATTACCATTCTCAAGAAACTGTGCAACAGCCCTTCCCTCTTAAAGCCTAGAAACTCCGATCAAACTCCCAATTCTACCCTTGGTGCCTTAATTTCCAGTCTTCCGCCAACTGTTCTTCGATACCTATCTCCTGCTTCGAGCGGTAAAATCAGAGTCCTTGACCAGCTACTTCATAATATACGTCATACTACGTCCGAAAAGGTTGTCCTTATATCAAATTACACATCCACGCTTGATCTCCTTGCGACATTTCTTACTTCCCTATCGTTGCCATTTCTTCGCCTGGACGGCTCCACCCCACCTTCAAAACGACAAGGGCTCGTTGATGATTTCAACCGCTCATCCTCATCTTCAGTATTCGCATTTCTTCTCTCAGCCAAAGCGGGAGGTACAGGTCTCAACCTTATTGGAGCCAGCCGGCTCATTCTTTTTGATGTTGATTGGAACCCCGCAACGGATATACAGGCAATGGCGCGAATACATCGTGATGGTCAGAAACGACATTGCCGAGTCTATAGACTTGTGCTGAAAGGAGCACTGGAGGAGAAGATTTGGCAAAGACAGGTCACTAAGATAGGACTGGCAGACAGCGTGATGGATCAAAAAACTGGTGTCTCTCAATTTTCGCGTGAGGAACTTAAGGATTTATTTCGCCTTGACGAAGGGACTACTTGCCAAACACACGAATTAATCGGTTGTCAATGCGGTGGTAGGGGAAAACTAGATATCTCGAAATCTGACAATCAAACCGAAGTTTCGGATGTGGACTCTGAGGACAATGAAGACGAAATTATTGATTTCACAAAGCTGATAAAGGCCTCGCGGCTCCAACCCTTAAATTCAGAAAATATAGCGACGAGCAGGCGTAAATCCAGGAACGAAAAATCCAAAATGCTCTCCTTGATGCAGTACACTCATATCGACCCTTCTCTGCTTTGTTGTGCGCCATCGCTTGATACATCCCCGGAAGATTTTAACACTGGGAACAACAAAGAACTCGAGGCCCATATCGACGACGGTGTCCTACTATCACTAGTGAAAGAGGAAGGTAACGGCGTGGGATTTTTGTTCAAGAAATGCGCATCTTCTGGAATGCCTTTGACCTCCATTTAATGGCCCGTTTCCTTCAGAAATTATTGCATATGTTTGAAATGATTTGTTTTCTAGATTCCAATTCGGTTCTTTCACATTCTGGAGAAACATATAACATCTTTATATAGTCTTTTTTCTTTCGTTATATTCCCACATGGCTATCTGTTTTTGATGCTACAGCATATTCTGCATGTCTTTATCATGCGATATATTTTATAGAATTAGCATTCAGGTTCAAAACATAGACACCACCAATATCGATTACTTCGTTCAATTTAAGTCGTTCCACGTTAGATGAAAATATCAATCCTTTTAGCCGTGTGCAACCAATGAGACATATAAGGTTCGATCGAATAACCGAAACACTTTGCGGGGTATTGAGCTAAATTGCAATATCACATAAATCACATAGGCACAATGCTTCATTATCAGGAGAAAAATATGCCAGATAGAAACACTCGCTATATCGCTCGAGAGATTGTAATCACTGCACTTCTCATCCTTAGAAGCAAACCAACCAAACCAGCAAGCCATCTCCATCCACCCACCTTCCCACCCATATCACCAAACAAACAGCCAAAGAATGCCAGTGCCCACTAAAAATCAAAGATCAAACTAACCCGGCCAGAAAATTTGCAAACCAAGTTTTCATGCAAAGCACCATGTGTCCACCTAATTAGTATCTCAGTTTCCCTACCAGTCCGAATGTATACGCCGTCTCCGCCTCGCTCTTCATCTGTATCATATAAACTTTGAAATTCCCACTGACTACACCACCCTCCTTCGCTACACCATCATATCTTTCCCACACAGACACAGCGATTCCGGTCCTAGCCACTCTTTCAAAATTGCTTTCGCCAAGACATACATCCAGTAACACCTCCCCTTTTGTCTTACCTCGGATGAGAATGCGCTTTTCGTCCCTACGGGCTGACGATACCGGTGCTGCCGGAGCAACTTGCGCGGGAACAGCGGAAGATTGTCCATCCGGCGTCATCGGCTCCATATTGCCAAAGTCTGCAGGAGATATCCCAGCATCTACTCGATTAGTTCCAGCAGTACCCGGGCGGGATGGGCCGGAAGGCGCGTGCAAGATTGTAAGACGAGCAGCCCCCATATCCCGCCATTTCGATGCAGATTCCCGAGCATATAACCTAATCTTGGCGTTTGAAAGGCCAATACCGCCAGGTGCGTTTTTCGCAAGGTCATAACCCGTTTCGAAAGGTGAATTTGGGAAGATGGATCCAGACCGAGTGGACGTTGAGTAAAGGCTGCCTCGTTGGCTGCCAGTGCGGGATGTGATGGTTGATCGGGCGATACTGAACATCTTGCTCCCTGCGCCGAATTTTTTGAGAGCTGAGAATGCACTGGACATTGTGCCAACGCTGGAATCTGTCACGCCAGCCACAGACGGGGCAGGAGCGCTCGAGGCACGATAACTGCTGCTTGACCAATTGAACCACCCACCGAATCTGCTCCTGCGGTTGGAATTTTGGCGGGCGAGCGACGTAGGCTGCACAGAATACGGACCGCGGGCATTCTGTAGCGCGATGTAGGTCGGGTTATTTATTCGAGAGTGATTGATAAGTCCATATAACTTCTCGCACTCCTCAGGGTTTCGTGAACGGAACATGATATTGTTCCCTGTGGTGATTTGGGATTTTGTCGTGGGAGGTGAGCGTATGGATATATCTAAAGCAGTTCCGCGTCGAATTGGGACAAGAGGGGTTAATTCCAGAGCGATTAGTGGTTTTTCAGAGGGAATGCCAGAATCCATGTCCTCTTCATGGGGTCCTACGCGTTGCGAATGTTCAAAATTAATCTCATAAGCTTCAATCAGACCCGGGGTAATCACAATGCCGCATTCATCCGGATAAAGTGCCTCCCAAGTACCTTTCTCATTCCAGGAGAAAATAAATGCAATAGACTTTGCGGATTTGGAAGGGCTGTAGTGGAATACTTTTGCATGGTGACTGGGAAGCGGAATTTGAAGGTCCAAGAGTTCCCTCCGGATCAGTTGGAGGTTCCGACGGCTGCAATATATTGCAAAGCTGGCGAGCTCCAACTGGCGGTAATGGCGTTTCATTGTCATCTCCTTCCAACTCCTCGTCCGACGTCTCCGAGGAAGAGTTAATTTCGTGGTGCTCAATGGTAGATGTATCAGAGCTGTCTGGTGACTCTGTTGCAGTTGAAGGCTCGTACTCGTGCTTGAGCGGAGACGAGGATCGTCGATTTTGGTTATTGCGACGTGACGTTGGGCTTAAAACAGGGGTAGAATGTCTTGGAACGGTAGGACTTGGTGAACTATGAGGAGGTGGCAATGGAACATCTTCGGTATATACTGTAAGGTCGCGACGAAGAATATCTTCGTCTAGGTCTTCACTGCGCTTAGTTGGACTTCGCCTGACTTTATTGGTCGTAATTGATGGCGCTGGCGTCTCCTCTTTAGGAGGAGATGTAGCTAAGTTGCTCTGGGGACTGCCTTTCCTGATTTTAGGTATAAGCGGCAGTTCTAGGGATGGAACGGGAGAGAGAGAACGCCGGCCTAGTGGTCTCCCGAGTTGGGGTTTTGGAGAGCTGATTTCGGGAGACGAGCCTCTCTTTATGGGTAATCCAGCTAGACCTGTTTCTTGAGGATGAGTAGATTTTGTCTCGGGAGATTTAGCTCCAGCAAATGGAAGATCAGATACACCTCTCTCCTTCTCTGGTGTTCTTGTGCCACTTGGCGGTGGACTTGACATAGACAAATCTCCATAGTTAGGTCTCCTCTTGGCTTTCGATCTCCTCAAATTGGTTGGAGAAACACCGCCAGCCATATCCATAGCTTCGTTAAGGCTTCTAGGTCTAGCTACTGATTCCCGCGGCCTCGTAGGTGTATGAGGCGAGATATTTTCTGATTCCTTTCGGGAATGTGGAACTGAAAGGGGTTCTTTCGGACTATAGGTATCGCGGGAGAGACCCAACGATTGCCTCGATATTTCAGTGTCAGAGCCAACATGTGCTTTCCGCCCTGTAACAAGAGATACCACTGTAGCCTGTTCGCCAATAGGCACGTCCATATCTGTGGGACTTGGGCTTCTCTTCTCAGACACGGTAGACAGTTCGGAGCCCTCTTGCCGCACCCTAGGGGGCCGGTTTCTGGCTTTAGCCCTATTGATAAAGCTCATAGATCGGTCGATCTTTGGCGGAACGGGGCTTAATCCAATCATCTGAACCCATTCAAATCCTATCTGCTCGTCATCTGTTTTGAAAGTAATCAACTCTTTCCAATCCTTCTCCTCTCCTGGCACACCCCTTATCATAATAATGATCTCGCCCTTCCCGTCACCATTTCTAGCAGATGCTCGCCCCCGGTCTATTGGCGGAAACAAAAGCCAGCGGCCGGTGTCATCGACTTCGCATATTAGCAAGTCGCCACCAGGTGCTTCGTTGGGGGGGTTATCACGAAGTAGAAGTTCAGCACGGCAATCGATCTGCTGACCAGTTGAATGGAGCAAAGAGAGATTAAAAAAATCACGAGCTCGAACCCGTCGAGTCTTATGAATGGTTATGTCGGCAAGTACGGCGAGGTTTCGTGGATTTCGGGCTCTCGTAGCGTCAATTGCAGCCGCCATATCGTCTTCGAGCCTTGCTCTCTCTTCATTTGAGCGTCGCCTAGCATCCGTGACAAGGCTCTGATATACCATTGCCATCTCTTCGGCCTTCGGGGATGTCCGTACATAGTTGATGCCTTTGAAAGTCTTTGAAAGATATTTCAGTCTTACCAGTGGCCTCTTAAGAAGAAATGCGACGTCCACCTTCTCCCCATCTCCGTTTACTACATCCCCATCTTTATCCTGCGCCATCCCGGCGTATAAGCTTTGAGTCTCCGGGTTGATTTGATTCGACGGATCCTCGTCGGGTGGTGCAAGGTTAACGATAACGTCTTGAAATCCTAGGCGCCAGGCCTTTAAATAGTCCCGATAAACTTTTTGCGCACCTTGAGCCCAGGATAAAAGAGCCTCCGGGTTATTCAATGGCGCTCGCTTATGAAGCGAGTTAAGTCGTTCGAGCGATATGCCCATATGAACGATGGGCCTCGTAAAGTTTTCATCGTCTCTTGGGTTGCCAGAAGGGCGGAAAAGGCCTGCAGCGATTGCCGAATCGGATTTGGATAAGACTGACGTTAACAGAACAGGTATGACACCACCGACAAGAGTCCTCAATTCACGCATATACTTGGCTTCGTCAGATGAAAATTCTTGCATTATATCGTCGATGGTGGCGGTTGCCAATCGACTTCTATTTGTGCGGATGCTCCTGGCAGATCTTATACTGCGGCTTCCATCCCCAGGGATGGATAAAACTGATATAAGATCGGCATGAGTTGTAAGCCGACGTTTTAAACCATTCTTCGGACCGGGTAGAGAGTTTGGATCGAATTGATCCCTAGCTTCTGACTCCAACTGCCCATCATGGTCCGTTTGAGTATTTGTCCGTAGATCGGTAGGTTGTTCATTCTGACACGCTGTTTCTGTTCTAGTGCTCAACGTGTCCACAGACATTATCGTAGAAAGTCGGTGGGCGCCAGTCCCTGGAAACGGCCTCCTTAACGTCAAGGGAGGTGGTCGATCGGATATTGATACCTCAGATCCGTCTGAAGAACGAAGATCCAAGTTCGACCCTAGCAGAGCTTCATCAAGTGACTCTTGGAGAGTCGACATTTTGCCTGCTTCGGTAAAAGAATTTGGACGTTTCCTTGCTCCTGTTCTTCTCAAGGTTGGTGGCGAAGATTCTCGGGTGTCTCCCGATATTTCACTGAGCTGCTCATTGTGGGGTATTCTACCGTCGTGAGGTCCTGTCCACCCTTCTGTCGAAGGCGGGCTTTTCGAGTTCCTTTTATTTCCTTTTGACCCTCGTCTCCCTTTCGTACTTTTTGCTTGCAATAAAGACCGGAAACTGCCAGAGTCGTCCACATAATCGCTTTGGATGGGACTTTCTCCGTGACCGTGAATCCAGAGGCAACGGCACTGGACAGAAGATCTTCATCCTCTGTAAAGGGGTCAGGAGTAGATGAAAGCCACGCTTCGACGTTAGATCCGTGGTTTCGAGGAGCTGGTACCGGGGATGACAAGGGCTCGTGTTTCCCGAAAAACTTTTTCGATTCATCAATAACATGGTTGAAAATGCCCCCTTTAGGAGGCCGTAATGTCCTTGGTGGGAGCTTGTGCGTCTGTCGTCTAGAGCGATTCTCCTGTTCAGAAAATTCGATAACCTCACTGGGTTCAGTTGACCATTCATCATCACCAGGCCTTTTTCGTAAATGCACGTCTCTCGCGCCGTAATCATGACCCTTTTTCTTCCTAGGCTGTGACTGTTGTTGCCTTTTAAAGGCCGAGGTCTGGTCACCGACAGAACTCTCCACTTCGGTTTCAACAATAGACTGGGATCCGCAGGTATGTCGCGACTTTGGGCGCTCACTCCTTCTCGATGAGGACACCGAAGTCGCATATACTCTGATTCCGTCGCCGGGTAGAGGATTGGAACTAGGATTGGTTCCGCCACTATGTCCGCATGTCTTCTCCTTTTCCTTGGTCGTTGATGTCGACTTCCCATACCGGTCAAAAACGTCAGTCCTCCTCTTATGTGTCACTTTTTGGGGTAGTGAGGCAGGGGGCGATCTATTCTTCCTCCAGTGTTCATCGCTAATAACCCGCTTGCGCGGGGTACTATTACTTCGAGCCCGCTGAACGTTATTCTCCTTATTCTTGCTGCCTTCTTTCGTTCTGCTATGTTTCTTAGTTGTTGGCGAGTTCTGCTTCCCAGTGCCAGACTCCGGGGAACTGTCGCTCTCAGGGCCGACATCGTTTTCCGTAATAACACCTCCACCTTGTTGCTGCCATCGCCGAACCTTTTCTCGTACCGAATTTATGTCGTGGACACCCAATGGTTGCCCAATATCAACAGGCTTCCCGTTGTGTGGCGTGGACTTCGCCCTTCCACGGTTGGAAGGCCGACGAGGAGGAGTCGGCATTACCAACTACAAATACCCTTGAGTGTTAGAACAAGCTCTTTATGTGAACTGCTGGTTAGAGCGCTTTGGGATTGCGCATCAAGGGCAACCTTCTTGGTCGTTTTGTTTACATACCAGTAGCCCCGCTCACACCAGTTTGGTGCATAGCAATCCTTAGCCTCTCGTATTTGTTTCTCCCGAGTTCAGCAAAATGGATCGCAGGATATAAAAGGAGACAGAAGGGTTTGTTAACTAACTATCGATAACTAGTTAACTTAGCAGTGTATGTTGCCGGGTTCTCTTCTGCCATGGAGCAAATAGGGCCGATACCATGTCCACGCGGTCGGGACAACAGGCTAAATATCCAAGTAAATAAACAACTAGCGAGCTTGAGCTGGCCAGGGACTAAACAAAACTAACACACAGCCGCTAGTCCGATTTTGATGTTGTATTTCGACCATTAGGAACCAACGAGAAGAATTGGCAACACAAGGCGGATTCAACCGAAAATAGCAACTATTTATGAATTGACTGAAACAAAGGGATGAGCTGGCTTTGTTTACTTCGGCATGCGCATCGCCAAGGGCTAGCTGACTCAACGGTTTGATTGCCTGGTTACCCGACCGGTAGTTTTTGTTGATTTCTATGTGTTTATATATGTATATTTAGACGAAATTACGGAGCACAAGGATATAAAACATGAAGAGCTCTCGTATTCCCCGTAGCTTCCGCTGTCATTTGACAAAGCGCTCCAGGCCCCTGGTGTATCACTGGCCGACGTGAATATTAAAGCAGAAAGGAATAAGGCAGCTATTAGTAGAAAGGATTTGACCGTCACATCGGTACGTGGAGAAAGGCGGCGAGAGACGGCGTACCATCAATTCGGGCAATTTTACGTTTTTATTTAATTTTGCGCTTGTCCGAAGCTTCATTGACATATTTAATGGCGTGTGACATGACGCCCATGCTCTTTACCACATAATCTAGGAATACATGTCAGTTTGTTCCTAACGAACCGAGAGGGTATCGTGCAGAAATTCTTCTTACAGGAAGGGATCACGATCCAGATCAAGTTCATGAAAAAGTAGTAGCACCAAAAATAATACGCCTCTGGTCTGCAGTAGCTTAATCCATTGTAGTAGTGGTCGAACATGCTCGTAGCATAGTAAAGGACGTCGCCATAGATTTGGCCAATTGATACGATTAGTTGAAGGGGGTGACGGAGTGGATGTTCGCGCGCAATAAAATAGACGACGATGAAGGAGAGGGGTCCCCAGAGAATCTGTCATAGCCAGCCTGTCAGTTCTCGAGCTCGTGCATCCCCAGCATATCAACAATGAAAGAGGGAGACATACAGCCGTGATTGTTTCCATACACAGAACGAAAGGGTCCGAGGTCAAGTATCGGGAGTCGGACAACGAATATTCCTTCCACAGTTGTCCAAAAAAGTCTTGCGCGGGTGCCATGCGCGTGTGGTTGACGACAAAGTAACCTTCAAAAAACAAATGAATGCTCCCAGCTGCGACAAATTACTATTCTATTCCCAAGAACCATGTCAAAATCACACACGGTATATGAACATACTTAACATGAACCATAAAATAGCCACCCTGTCAGCCTTTCCCAGCTTCGGAGTCACGAACGACAGGACTACCAACGTGGATCCTAGAATGAAAGCCCATCCCCCTGCGAATATGGAAATGAGAAAAGGAACAGACCACTCATTGGCAAGGTAACCTATGAGCTCCGCATCAATTGGGTAGTATGGGTGAGAGTTGGATTGGGTGGAATTGGCCATTTGCGCATCTGTCCCCTACCGAAACCAAGCGAGTGTGGAGGGAAAGGAAATAATGACGAGAAGTCCCAGTTCTCAAAGTTGATACTCCCGATCTGCCTCCTGAAAATAAAGCGATAGGAGTTTTGTTTTTAGGGCGTATTTAGGTTTTGCCATTGGAGCTGTGTGGCCGAATCGGCCTCTGGTGCGTGGGTATAAATATTTAACGCTTACTTCCATAATCACCACATGCAGTTGACGACCTCTCCCATCCTCCACCAACCGAATGAAACTCATCTGAAGGAGCTTTGCAGGCAGCGCCCTATGAGTTCCGCGATCCCGAACCTGTATCCCCGCATCTATGGCATCAGACAGGAGGAGAAGCCCGAGATCTATCAGACCTGATGTGACCGTATTACCAGAACTGCCACCCAGGATCGCAGCTATCTTCCTGATCTGCTTTGACGTCAAGGCTGGGTAAGTACATGTATATTCGCGAAGCACCTAAACAACTTGGGCGCCATTGATCGGTTCATTGTATTGACGGCTGTCTTTTATCTTTATGTAGCTACACGGTAAAATGGAAGCGAGCTATACCAGAGGGTATGTTAGAATCTCGGCCCTCCGTTCCAAGTTACATGGATTAAGACGAGCACAACAGTTGTCCTGGAGAACGTCGTTGAATATAAATCACTCCCATCAGGTTTACACAATGTCAGGGAAGATCTTGTGTACGTCAAGCTTTTTGGACCTTGTCATTCGCATTTTTTTTTTTTTTTTTTTTTTTTTTTTTTTAACAATCTATTCCGCAGTTATTTCGTCCATCAGCAATATGCTGGCATCAGCGCGTTTATCAACCACCCCGCAGCAGAGTCCGAGCGGAACGCCTTGATGATAGCTGTTGGGGTTCTAGTACCGCTCAGCTACGGTAGGCTAGGAAAAGCCTGGAGACATACTGCGAAACTAAAGGAATTGGCAAGGTATGACCTGAACTGGCTGGGGGGCTGGAATCATACTCCTATTTTCGGACTAATTATATGAATCACAGGAGTCTTGCAGATGATTCTGATAATACAGACCCCTTGTCTGCGTACTGGGAGACGCACCAATTGTCCGAAGATACTGTGTCTCCTCCAGATTCCCCGTCAGGTTCAATCGCAAGCCTAAAAACTCCTGTTCGTGACGTTTATGCCAGACATCGCGCGCTTAGCGATGCCACAGCGCTTTTGACCTCGAAACAATCGCTTGCGCCCTATCATCCGGCTCTCTCTCTTCCAGAGTTCTTAGATACTTTTGGACCGCTAGTTTTCCAATTGTATCGAGCAGCTCTATTACGCAAACGGATTCTTTTAGTGGGTGAGGCGCCCGTGGAAGAATCATGTAACTTCGGTTTGTCACCTTGTCCCCCCAGACATTTGACATTGCCTAGCGACTAACGTCCAAACCCAAGTCTATGACTTGGCTCTTCTCTCGTCGCTTCCGCAATCCCTACTCCCTCTTCTCCCAGCAACTGCTTCTGCAGCTCTAAGGCCTCGACCTCTATTCAGTATTGGCATCCATGACATGCCCTACATAGCATCACTCTCATATCCTGCCGTCTCGGATCCCGATAGCTGCTGGATTGCATGTACTACTGACCGTGTGCTCAGTTTGAAACCCGAGCTTTATGATGTGCTCGTAAACCTACCCCCGGCTTACTCTAAACATGCACCAGTAAAGACCTACCCTGCCATAACACTCACAGCTCCTCGTACATCACATAAGCAGCAACAAAAATCTATGAATATCAAGGCCACCCAGCGGGACGCCCGCCGATATTTGACCCTTAGAGGGGACTTAGCGAAATCTCTAC